ATAGCTCACTGGTTCCATCCTGGCATTAAGTACCCCGATGCAAGTACCGCTTATAGTTTTGGAAAAAATATCATTTACAATCTATACGAAACTAAATTTATTAAACCAGAACACAGCTGGCCTTTCACAAAATATCCAAATACAAAAAGGGGGAAAACACCATCAAAAACCTCCATTTGGTTAATATTAATTGTAAAATATTATCAGAGGAAAATAATCTGAAATTAGAAAAGGTGGCTTTAACCCTTAATAAAAAACAGAAACACAAGAAACCAACACGGACACACAGCTCCTAATTACATCTAAAATTTATGCAGTTATCAAAATTTCGCTTGAGATTTTCCAGTCCAGTAGTATCCATTCACTATTCATCACCCCTAGATTATTTCTTAATGTTTATAAAGCAAAAGAAAGTTCTTTCAGTAACATTTTTATTGGTTTATTAGTTCATTTTAGGTAGAACACCTTTGCTTTGATAGTGGATCCCTTTCATTAGGTCACGAGTTTGTTTAATCACACCCATTTTCTAAAAAAGCAGCAAGTAACACGTAAAAACACATTTCTGCCTGCTTCTCTATGAACTCCTCCAAATCTAAGGGTATATTGATATTGGTATAAGATATTGGTAATGCTCCCTGCCAAAAAGATTACCCTTAGTGAAATCCAGTTTAAACACAACTTTGAAAGAACTGACTTCCACTCCAAGCACTTTCTCCACATAAATTTACTGCATCCTAGAAGCAAGTACACACTACTCATATATATTACTTTAACCTCAATAAATCTCTTCTTAGGTTCCAAATCCTAGCCTGCCTTCTCCAATAGTTCACGGAAAAGCAGCGAACCTAATTAACAACAGCATCCTCTGCAACTCGGGCCTTGATTTCACCTATTTACACATTAACTGCAGCCTCCTTTTGGCCAATCCAGTCTATTCTCTGTACCATGCCGAGCCTTTTATCTGCCCTGGACAGCATTTTCTCCAGCAGATGAAGTAGATGCCGATTGATTTGCTGTCGAGCATGGTAAATTAATAGCAACAAATTGCTGAGGGCCCGTCTCGCTGCTCCACCATGCTTCGGCAGTTTTGCTTTATTTGCTCCATGATGGGCAGCAGTCGGCCTCTTCAAGTCAATTTCTTCTTAACAACCTGCAATACTTTTCAATGGTGAAAATAGAGCTGTTCCTTGTAAGTCAGAAATCAATATCCTATTGCCCTTAGAAAATGCTAAACAAGCAGTATTGGCAATCCACTTGGTACTAGAGGGTATCAGATATAATGCAAATCCATACTGCTTTCCTCCTTGTAGTTATTACAGTTTGCTAAAAGGTTCCTAATGTCATTTATCATCATTTACTATCGACCAAAGAGGCTATGATTATGATATCCTATCAGTTGGCAAGGCCCTTTCATTTCTATTCAATTAATATTTCAGCAGCACTCAAATGGTTGTGGCCTAAGTCTCATAATGAAATTTACATGACTTGCAGTGAAAACAGGAGTTTTCTTGCCTTGATTTAAAAAAAAAAATAATACATATATTCGGACACGTACATAATACATAAATATTTATATAAAAGTGTAGTATTCACTTAATGGAGTCTACATGTTAAGAGATTTCTAAAACTTTTCAATGATTCCTAAAATTCAAGCACTGGGCAAAACATTTTTAGAAGCAAAGACAGACATTCCGATTACAAAATACTACCCATAAGCAAGTCAGGAAACATTCTTGCGCCCTGCTTTTCTAAATTTACCATGGCCATCCATTTAGTTTCTATAGGTTGCATCCACACACCTACTGTTTCTAATCTACATCTGGTATTCCTTTTAGAGTGGTGATCACTGCTAACGGGAGGTTTCCATCAGGAAAAATGTCTTCAGGCGTCACAGGTGGAGGTGGTGCTGAAGGGGCAGCACTTAGTAATGCTATCAATGCACTCATTACCCCATCTGACCACAGTCCCTGACCCATTTGGAAGCCACACTCTATTTATAAAGAACAATCAGCAAAAGAAAGTAACAGCTAAACCCTGGGCTAACCGTCCCATCCAAAACATACAGCAAAACCCTGTACAGTACTTAGGGAAATCCTTAGGGAATGCAGGCCAGTGTGCTCTCATTTTTAAAATATCCATTTTGAAGACCTCACAATGAGGCACACATGCCATTTTTAACTATGTCCTGATCGTCATGTTCAGTTTCATGCGAGACCTCAAGATAGTGGCCAGGTGTTAATGCCCATTACACCCCACACCCTAACTTCTCTGGGGTTTTTTCCCAGCTTCATCTGCTCAGTTCTGTTAGTTCCACTAACGATTACTAGAAATTAGATCCATATTTTATGCTCTAGTTCTGTGTCATGGCACAAGTTCCCCTTAAAAAAACACCCCACTCATTCTACCAGGCTAATGCTATTTACTCAGTTACCAAAATTTAAATTAATTATGTTCTCACACATAATTGTTAAAAATTGGCAACATTATGCAGGCTTAATTAAGATTAAATCCAATTTACTAAATGTACTTTAATTGGTACTAATTACATTAGCTTTCATTTCAGAATGACAAATTCCCCATAGGTTTCACTTTATAGTTCTCTATCAAAATCAACACAGGGTGACCGATGATGAGCATCACACGAAACCAGGTGGGGAGAGCGCAACCCCCACTGTGTCCACTGCTTCACACTTCCACCCTTTTATCAGTTTGCTAAGTCACAGAGCAGTGACTCCATCACAGCCATCATTTTCTGTTCCAATGAAAAATTTCTCTACAAATAAATCCTCGGGCTGGCTTCAGCCAAGAACAGGAGTGTTAACCAAAAAAATACACAAAGGTTTCAAATATCAGGACCACCAATGACTAGGGTACTTCCAAGACTCCTGGGACTCCTACTCTTGAACCCTTCAAGACACAAATCTAATAGTGAATAAGTCTAACCCGATCTTGAGAACTAGGCCCAATTACGCCGCAGGGCGATTTCCCTGCATTATTGCTGCTTTCCATTACAAGGGTATCCAGTGAATCTGGAAGAGAAGCTAAGAGGAACTAAGGCTGTCTGCCTAGGAAAGCAAATAAAGACAGATATGCCTCTGTGCTTAAGGGGGAGAAAGAAAGAAAATATAATAAGTAGGTGGTTTGCAGGGCTGTCTGTATTTCGTAATGTGATAAACTGCCCTCAGGATTCTTGATATGATTGAATTTAAAAGAGAGAAAAAAAGGAAAATGTACTTTTCTCAATTTTAAATAGATGGCATTTGAGACCAGCTGGACAAGAAGATGACAGAATTACAGAGATATAAAATGTGTAAAATTAAAGAATCTCACATGCCCCCGGTACTGTATTTCCACATGAAACACATACGGCCAAAAACAAGCTATGTGTTATGCACAAAAATGTAGATGGTACCTGAAGATCTGAAAACTAAGAAGATAGAGGAGGAAAATAAAGGGATATTAAACATATGATCCAATCTTTATAAAACATTGATTTTGGTAGGGAAAGGGGAGGCAGGGATAAGGACCCGCCCCCCCCAAAAGAAAGAAAAAAAAGACATACAAAATCCAGACCTAAAATGATATATAACGAGGATGATTAACAATACTAACTCTCATGTAATTTATTCCTATAAGGTACAGCTATTAGATTTTGTTTAAGTAGGAGATATGTAAATTACTAAACAGAAAGCCAGGGATGCCAAAATAAGAATTTAATCTTATATGTAAGCATTCAATTTCATTTAACGCATGGCATTCAAACTATACTATAATGCTTAATACTGGCATAGTCCAACAGTATACAAAGTAAAAAAGTATCTGAAATAAAAAGTCCTCAGCAGTAGTAGTCTCACTTCCCACAATTTTTTGTCTTCTGTTGCTATCTATTTAACCGCCTTCATTGTCTAATAGGCATCTTTCAAAGAAAAACTATGTATGTGGGCATGTTCTGAGCAAGTGATGAATAATTCTATGCAAATAAAAAAAAAATGGAACCCATAAATAGTACAAGCCTATTAATACATGGTTATTTCATATTTTCTAAACTTACATGGTAGTAACATCCACCTTGATCATAAGACATAAAAATCATTACATCTTCCCTTGCCTTCTTCTCAGCAGGCAAGCATATACACATCTATTGTGAAATGGTTGAGGAGCACAGGGGCACTTCGAAGAGATCATTAAAAATAAATGCTTCCAAGAGGAATTAGTATTGCCAAACAGTATTTCGTACACCTTCATATTATATGTATACATATGCTATTTTTTCTGTGTAGGAAACTTAAGCCTAATTATTTCATTTGGTTTCTTCCTAAAAAAACGACTGTTTGAATCATATCCCTCAGTGCTTTCTGACTAAACGTGACTTTTTTTTTTCTGAACTAAATGCTAGATTTCAAGCCCTAATATTGAACCTTATCACATCCTCTTATGAGGCTCATTGGCTCTGTACAAATTTTGGAAGTAACGGTTACAGTTCTCCATAAGACCAACTAAGTATGCTCTGGGGACCTGTATAAGGATTTTACATCAACTTCTTTTGTAGTTCCACAGATTTCATTTTGATCCTCTCAGCTCACCCTCTATCTAATTCTTTCACACTGAGCCAACAACAGCTACACAGGTGCACAATATTTAAGACTTTCTAAGAAAAGCTCTTTCACAAAACAAGTTTGTAATGTCCAAAATACACAAAGCAACTCCTACAAAAGAAAAACAAGATATATTTAAAATTCTGGAATCCACATTTTGAAAGTATAGAAGTTTAATATGCATTCAAATGTTTTAAAATAACATTTTCAATGATTAAATTTAGGATAATACGGAAGAAAAATGAGGAACCACCTGTGAAAAAATAGTGTCCTCTCCAATACTCAGTATGTAAAATATAGGCAGCCACAACAATCTGCAGAAGAAAATTGTAAAACGTACAGTTTTCTTTTCAAAATGCACCAGCATTACCGTCATTTAAAAAGGTTACAAAAATAGTAACTTACCTGCTTGTGCATTTCTATATTCAACCCATAGGACATTTCATAATACTGTCAAAGAAAGAAAAGCAATTAAATTTCTGCTTTTCATCAAATAATCTCCCCAGTTTGTTCAAAATGCTCCAAGTATGTTTAAACCAAACATGAAAGCCTCACCAAAAGTAAAATGGCCATAATACCTATGTTAAGAAATCAAAAGGGGTGCTCAACTAAGGTCTTTAGTTTAATAAAACTACAAACTACCTTAAGACACAGACTCTGCAAATGACTCACATAACTAGGAAAAATTATGCTCAAATAAGCATCCTTAACATCTCCACCTGTCTTGACCTGTCATAAACAAATGAATCAAAAAATATGAAAATTAGGAACTATATTTCTCTAATTCCTAGGCACGGTGGAAACTTGTCTTGAAACTCGATGTGCTGAAAGAAAGGTTGGAAAAGATGGTGTGCTACATTAAGAGTTTAGTTTCTCGTGTTTAGTTAGTATACTGCTCATATTCACAAATCCAAAGCAAAAACGCTTCACAGAAAAGGAACTAGTGAGTTATTCCAGAGTCTTTTTGAGCAATCCTAAAAGGATGCTTCATACTTCTAAAGCAAATCTAATTTTTTGTACTTGTACTATAACTGGCATTTACAGAAAGTCTAGCAAAACAAAATGAACACTCCTCAAACCAATGCAACACTGTAGAAATTGAAAACATACACACAAAAATATAAGGATAAAAGTAACATAAAGAAAGAGAAAAAATGTGAAAAGGGGTTTAGTGTCTCCTTTTATTCATCATTCTTTAAAAGAATTAAGACATTAAAATTTTAAGGGTATGTAGAAAAACTGGTTAAAACTGTTTCGATGCGAGAGTAATAAAACAAAGAAAACCACTAACAAAAACATTTTGCTTGTGACTAAACAAAACAAAGTAGGTTTTGTTTTCATTTTTTTTCTCCAGTCTGTAAAAACAAAGCACAAAAAACTAAACCTCATGCAGTGGAACTTTCTGAAAATTTAAATGAAAGCTGGTTGCCAAAGGCAAGTAATAACATCCTAGAATTACAAGTTGCTAATGAACACATTCCCACAACCTGGACTACACCGGCAGGGCCAGTGATCTCCCTGCCTGCAGCCTCTAGCAATCGCGTGTGCGCTTGCTCTTGGGATCCCAAACTAACAGGCACTCTGAATCTGTGCAATGGTTCTCTTACCATGACATAATGCCGCTGCATCTCAGTCTTCTCGCTGGCGAGCTTCTCACATTCCAGCTTCAGACTGTTCAAGACATAGCATAATCTGAGTACAGTGCAAAACTTAACCTGCAACCTTCAAATCCAAACACACACTTCCTCCTCCAAATCATCACCTACCAACACCAAGTCAACAATCTTAACCACCACCTCATTAGGGAAAGGCAGGAGAAAAGGAAGACTAGAACCAGACTGGACTTGTCCCTTGGATAAGGTCCAAATCGAGAAATTTTTATTTTTTAGTTTTTTAAGATAACTTTTTAAAGACATAAACCCTCTAATAAATTTAATTCGGGAACTGCATCCAGAATTGAATAGTCAATAAATTCAAGCAAAACAACAAGAACAAAGAAGTAAACAAATAATGACTACACACACAAGCATGAGTCCCCCAAAATGTCACAGGGGAGCTTTTTTTCTTCAATGTTCTACGAAGAGATTAATGAAAATATGAATCAGGCAGTCATATGAATGATGTCTTTCTTTTTCCCCTCCAAAACACACAGACAAGTTGAATACCACCACCCAGGGGCAAAGCGTTGACCGGTTCAGCGGCTTGTTTTGGTTTTTTCATTTATGAAATAAGAACTAGACATCATTACAAAGCCAGCACAAGGAAAATGTTTTAAAGGCACTCTAAGTCTAATAATCTCCTCTAAGATGAAAACATTTTTTTTTCAGCATAAAAGTAATGAAACTGTTCGCTCTGATACTTCCCAGGGCTCTCTGCTATTTAGTGAAATGGCAGAAGGAAGAAATCAAGCCCAGAGTGATAACCAAGGAAGTCAAAAGGCCCCAGAATCTTCCCAACCTTCCATTCTCCCGGCCCCAATAAATCAATACCGAAAGTTTGGCCTCAGCGTTTTCCAAGTCTCCCCAGTTTCGATTGTTCTGCCTCGGTTTTTATTTACGGGAGAAGAAAGGAACGCTTAATTTCTTTACACCTGCCTAAAGGAAAAGAGGCCTTGACATGCCCTTTCGGCCCACAGGGGGAAAAAAAAAAATAATAGTAATAATACCTTTGTGGTGGCAAAAAAAATAAAAAAATAAAAAAAAAAGAGGTGAGTGTTTGTGCGTGTATGTGGGAGGCAGACGACAAGAGCTAAGCAAACAGAAGGATCAGCTAAAGTCAATATCGTTACCTGTGGTATTGAGCCTGCAAAAACTGAAACTCCTCCTTAATCCGATCACAGGATTCGGAAATGGTAAATTTAAAGGGTTGAGCAGGCTGATGCGGTGCCTAAAGAACAACAATAAAATATTTAATTAGCCCACATCACAGGCGAAGCAGAGCGAGGGAGCGGTGCGCGCGCGGCGCCGGCGGGG